CCCTTCTGGCCCTGGCGGGTGATTGGCACTCGAGGCGCCCATCTGCACCGACCGGAGACAAAAAGGGGAGAGAGAAAGAGAGGGCGAAAAAAGGATCGCCGGCGACGGTTAATTTGATGAAAAGACGAGGAGGAGGCATACCGCCGCCGCCACCCTGGCCGGGCCTCGGCCGGGCCTCGGCCGGGCCCTGGCACCCTGGCGCCATGGATATTGATGAAACTGAAAACCATTCTCCCCGGCCGTGACCGCCATCCATCGACAGGCTCCTCCAGCGACTCCCCGTCGGGCCGCCGAGGCGGATGAAAAATTGCACGTCACCTGCAGGCAGGCCGGGGAGACGACTCCCGCTGACAGCCGGCGTCGAAATAAAACACGAAAACTTGACAAAATGTTGATAGAGCCAATATTGCTGAATCTCTGTCCTCCTCCTCTTGCTGCTACTTCTTCTATCTCTTCTTCTTCTTCTTCTTCTTCTTCTTCTTCTTCTTCTTCTTCTTCTTCTTCTTCTTCTTCTTCTTCTTCTTCTTCTTCTTCTTCTTCTTCTTCTTCTTCTTCTAGTGTAGCCGCGGCCGGGGTTCATGGGGTTGAAAGCACACTGGTGATCAGGTGCGAGCAGGCTGTACCACTTCGTTTAATCATGAGCCGGGCGAGGGTGGAGTAGCGGAACAGGAGTGAGAGAGAGAGAGAGAGAGAGAGAGAGAGAGAGAGAGAGAGAGAGAGAGAGAGAGAGGCGGGCCGGCACCGCGTGCTGACCGAGCTAGCTGGCGCTCAGCGCTGCCGGCGCCACTACCCTGGGCATAACAGTGCGGCGGCCGTCCCGGGCGGCCGTCCCTGAGGGCCGTGCCGTGCACACCGCAGCCAGCCCCGGCCCCGCGCGGTGTGGTTCCTAGTTCCAGCTCCATGCAAATTACACGCCGAAAGCCAGTTAATACAGTGCCGCGCGTCGAGGCTGCACTGCCGCCGACTTCAACGACCGGTCAACGACACTGCACTCTTCCTTCTCTTTCACCGTGTCAAATAATGGCCAAGCTTCTTTAATTTTTTTTTTGGGAAGCGGCGCCCGGCCTTGGAGCGACCCTCCCATCGGCTGGTAGAATGGGCGGCATAATTGCTGCAGGTGCACTGTAACTGGGGCACACGCATGGCGGAGCGTTCCGGCCGCTGCGTCGCCAAAGAGCGAGCGAGAGAGAGACGCTCTTGTTGTTGTTGTTGCGGGCACACAGGAAGCGGAACCGGCCGGATCTGGTCCGGCACTGCGAACTGACCACGCCCACGCGACGCATTACGGGTCGCGTTGCACAACGGTGCCAACATTCAAACCGAGAAAATGGAAACAGATCGAGGCGGGGAAATGACACGGCGGATCCTGCGCTGAATATGGGTCAGGAGCGAAACCGGACGCAGATTGAATATTAGCAGGGGCGGTTCGCGGAGCTCTCCGATAAACCGATAGGAAGCCGTTATGCGGCCATCAGGTCGGGGAGCACAGCACCGGTGCAAAAAAAGAGAGGTGCCGAAGTCAAAGCTTTGCGGATTGTTTCTGCGCGTCGGGGGAAAAATTCACGCCCCACTCCGGGTGACAATTAACAGCGACCGAAAAAAAGCAAAAGCCCGATTTCCTGGTGCATTGTGCTTCTGTGCATTGGACTCGCGGCTCGTCAGGGCCGGCCTTCATTAAGAACCAACAAGAATACGCGCCAAAACGTGTTCTCCTTTTCTCCTTTCCCTCGCACAATCAACGGGAAGAGCACTGGCAAAAAGGACCAACGTCATTCTTTTCCTCCAGTGTGGAAAAAGTCGGAAAGAAAATATTGAAGCAGCAGTAGTCCTTCACGCTCCACTGCGCTCGTCTGCTGCATGCGATCACGTTTCGTCCGTTTTACAACTTTTCCCCTAACTTTGTGAAGAAAAGGAAAACAAGAGTCCTGAAGGAGCGGCAGCCGGCCCGAGGGCGACTCGTTTTATAATATCCTTTGACCCGTTAAGGGATTTCCTTCATTCAGGCTCGGGGGGCTCCGGGCGCATTCGAGCATGTGTGGCCGTGAGTAAGACTGAAAGAGGCCGGGGCGGCCGGGCCTTTCGGCTTTCACACCGAAGTGAACCAAGCGAAGCGCGTTCCAAAAGGAAATGGGCTTATTGGGGCGGGTCACTTGTTGCTCCGCGAAGGCCGAGCCGAAGGCCGAAACGGGGTCGCCTTGGGGAGGAAAGATAACAATAAAAATAAAAGTCATTGTCGCCCTCTGCTTTTCATCGCGAGACGCAATATCGGTTTTTAGCAGTGCGGAAAATTGGTATTTCCTCGAGTGAACTTCTTTCTGGGTAACTTTCAGTAGAAAAAGAAGATACAGCCGAGATGTTTTCGCGACGCGGCGCCTTGAGATGAGCGCTGGGAGATGGACGAGCAGGGCAACAGCGTTGCAAAAGTTTGCTTGTTACACAACCAACCTTATTACGCTTTTTCGTTAGAGGTCCGTGTCTCCTGAGAGTCGAGGGCGATTGCAAACCGTCCTAAGTTCGCGGGCGAGGCAGCGCGCCACTGTAAGTAACCCCGTCTTCTTTTCTCTTATCCAGCCTCTAGCCTACGGCCGAGCTCGGCCCTGGGGGAGGGACTCACACCACCATTTGTACGTCCTGGTTCCTGGTGGACACTGGGCCGGCAGGATTGCCTGGAGGGGGGGCGGTCCGGGAAGGCCTCTCCGCAAGAAAACGAAAAATAACAGACACAAATTTCGCCGTGTACCGTCTTAACCTTTCTGCTGCGATAGGGGAATTTCATTTCACGAAGATTATTCATACTTCCCTTACTTTTCTTCAGCTCCGCCACATTAAGCTTCGCAACGGTGCAGTTCGCGCCCATATCGCAGCCAAGCGAGAGCGGGAAGAACCACCCCATCCCCCGAGCATAAACACCGACAGCCGACCGGTAGCGCGAGGGGAGAGAGAGAGAGAGAATAAAATCGACGCTACCGCAAAGTTGGCGGATAGAAGGAACTGGCGGCGACGCTTACCGTTCTGCCGGCCTGGCGGCCTGGCGCGCGTGCGCTGAAAAGTTGAACTGCACGGCGAAACGCAATAAGCCGGCTTGTCATTTCCACGCCGTTCCCTCGGCACGGCACTGCTAGGCGCCAATCCAAGCGGAGGCCGCGGAGCCGCGGAGGGAGGAAAAGGATGTTCTTTTCTTAACACCCCACCGCGCCGCCAACACCCCTGCCACGCCAAAGTGCTCCAACCAACTTTAGTTTACACCGTGTGGGGCCTCTCAGCCAGCCCCAGGGCGCGAAAACTTAACCTTCCTTTTTCTTTTTTTGTTTCACTAGAGATAAAAAGGTGATGCATAGGAGAACTTCATCTCAAAATTTAACGTTAAATGCGGGTCGCCCTGCGCGCACCTTTTTTTATCTCTACCCGTTTACGAGACACGAGCACCCAAAGTCTCAATAAATGTTAAGCTGCTCTGCCCCTGCCACCCCGTCGCCGCGCCGCCCCGGCACCACCACGTTCTCGATCGTATCAGCTTCGACCAAGTTGCAGCACCTCTAAACAACTCACACCTGTACCGAGCAACAACAAGGGAAAAACAACAACAACAAACTACGCGCCAAGTGCGACGAGGAGCAGATGAGGGGAGCGAGAGAGGAAGGAGGGGGAGGAAGGGGGCGGTGATAAGAAGACCACACCACCGCGCCACCCCACTTAGCTGATTGCGAACCGGACTCCGGACATAAGGCGAGTAACTGCCTAGGAGAGCAGCCGCACTTGCCGGGCCGCCACTGCCAAGGCACTGCCGGCAGGGACAACTTGGAGAACAGAGCCAGAACAGACTCGACGAGGTTAACAAGTCAGCGCCTCCATCTTTCTTGTCCTTCTCCCTCCGCTCCACCAAGTTTCGGCCAGACGCCGCGACGGCAACACAGACCCGAAGAGCAGAGAATCATTCAGGCACCCGAAACTTAGTGAAAGCTGAGAATTCTATTGGTGGTGCAAGCTTTCCCGAGACGAAGCCTCACTGCAGCCCGGCACAGAGTACAGGCGCCCCATTCGATCGACAAGGATCACCTGCTACCCGGACAGGGTGTCCCTGTCGTCGGCCCGGAGCCTCCGGCCAAAGGCAGGACAAGGACAATCTGCTGCACAATGGGTGGCTGGCGGAGGGAGAGGCAAACGACCCTGTTGGAGGAATTTCCCCGAGAGGAAAACATGGCGCTTCGAGAGGCAGATCCGCCAACCTTGGAGGGCAGGCCCAGTCCGTCTCCATTACCTGCGACTACCACTAAACTGGCAGCCCGGCAGCCCCACTCAGGGCGACACCTGTTGTCGGTCTGTTGCGGAACAGTTTGACGTGAAGGGGCCCGCCAAGTTTGGATTCCAGCGAAGGGCGGCTACGCCCAGCAAACTCGACAATGGCACGATCATGTTTGCCACGCTGCCGGGCTGGCTGCCGGGGAAGGAGATAGGGGCCCGGATGGAAATACGACAGCGGGTGTGATATTCGTCGCAGAACTACCCCCCGCGGGCGTCGTCCTCCTCCTCGTCGTCGTCGTCGCCCTAGGCCGTTACCCCCAGCCGGCCGCCCCGGCAGCATCACTGTCATCACCACGGCCATTTGCATGGACCTTGGGAGGGTGTGCAAGGAGGCCACCAGCTTGTCACGTTTACATTCGAGCGCGACAACCTCGTGGAGCAACTCACACAGGCAAACACCCACACCCACCCGCACCTCTACCTCTGCCTTTCCAAAGGCAAAGACCAAGCGGTACGGCCATGCTGTCAAACTAAACTCCCTCGTCAGACCCACAGTGCTGCGCTGCTCCCCCTTCCACTTCCCCCGCTCTACCCTCGTCGTTAGGGCACGCGTTCAATGCAAGCCGTCGTGAGCTCAAGCTGAGCCGGCTCTAGCCCCGCCAACTGCAGGGGCGTGACGGCACAGCATCCCGCTGTAGGACGGCGCCGAGAAAGAATAACAAAAAGAAATAAGACGAGAAGTAAAGAATTCAACTTACCTATGGCATCACATGACGGTGACTACGGCTGGCTGCGCGCCACCCAGCCTGAAAGCAGAGAGAACAAGTTATGGCAAAAGCTGACAACCACCAAGAACAGAACAGGAAGTTCGCTCGATTTGCTATATTAATAAAATAAAAAAAAAGAGTTGCCATAGGCTCGAAGGCACTCTGCCCCTCCTCCATCTTTTCCCCAAGATCCTCTCCAGCCCCCTCGGATGGCGAAATAAAATACAGGAAGTGACTTTGTCAAAAAGCGGCGCAGCGGACACGGCCTTATTCCTTTCATCTTGTTTCAGCAAAAAAAAAAAAAAAAAAAAAAAAGGCTGGGCTTCACTTTCATTAGGCCGGCTCGACGGGACACCACAAACGAGTCCACCTCGACGCCTCCGGGCTTATCTGCACACCTTGAGGGGCTGCATAAATACCCCGGCAAAAGGGGGCCCACTGGTTAAAAAAATAATTCAGAAATAACAGCCGTCTCTGACTTCGTTTCACTCGTCAGTGAACAGCGAAACGACGGGCTAATTAATTAAAGTCAAATCTTGACACGTCGAGCACGCAAACGGAGGGAACACGACCCAGAATTTTGTCCGTCCCTTGTTTATCCGAAGCGGTGCCAGGTTTCCATTTTTCCCTGGCAGCCGTGAGGTAGCGGCTCCAGACAGCAACTTTTTCGTCCTTTTCGTGTTCCGCGAGACACTTGGTGGCGTGCCAGCAGCGCGGCTCGCGGCCCTCGTGGCATCGCGCACTCAGCTCGTGGCTTTAGCAAACTCGGCCATGTTAACGAGAAAACTTGGCCATTTCACAGAACGCCTCCGGCAATGCTTGCGACGCGGATCGGCGGGAGCTTTTGTCGCTGCTTTTGTCATAACGCATTTGCATGGACACTTCATTTCGTAACAGATCCTAATTAGAATTGCTAAGTCCGCAATTATTGGACGAAGACACTGCTGGTGGCGCCGCCGCCGCCGCGCAGCCTCTTACAATTCCACGTCGGTTTTTTCTTCCCTCTCGGGCGTCACCAGCCGGCGGCCCTCGAGTTATCACCGGGAAAGATCTGCGTGGAAAGAGAGCCTCCGCACGCGCTGCGAGGAGTGAGTATTGGCCTCGTCAAGAAGGTGGAAGGAAGGAAAGTCTCTCCCAACTTGGACCAAACAAGACGAATCCGAGTTGACAACAACACTAGGTCGCCCCTTTCATCAGAACTGCACCGGAGGGCAACTTTGATTGAAAGTATACAAGAAATTCAAATTGAAAATACACACTGAACTGCTGCGGAGCTCCAAGGAATCCCAAACGCAGTCTGGCTTCTCTTTCAACTTCTTGCGGTAACGTGTGGTCTCACTGAGTCCACGCTGAGGCAGGGTTCCAAAGTTAGTTGCTCTTGACTTTTGCCGGCGGTGCGAAATAATGTTTTAAAACAAGCCTGAGAGATAATGGAAAATGAGATCACTCATCTGGTTGCAGGTGGTGAGGGGCACACGTCGCGCCCGGCCGGTCTTTCGGCGCGCGCTCGCGCACAGCGGAGGCATCAACCGCATTCAATTTTAATAAATCATGAAGCGTATCGCAGGCGCGCTGTCAGGGCGGGAAGGAGAGGCTGTTCCATTAGAACCGATGGGAGAGCGGCCGCCATTTCTTCCAGCAATATGAAGTGCTCCATCAACACTCTGTCAACGTGTCAGCGAGACGCCGTGACGCCGTGGCCTCGGCCCGAGCCACGCCGTAGCCGTGCAGGGCGGCGGATTTAATGGAATGAGCCTGGAGGGTGTCAACGGGAGGAAGGCCTTGGAGGGCGCGGGGGGAGGGTATCACAGCAAGGGTCTCACGGGCAGGAAGTGTCCGAGGGCGTAGGGCACAGCGGGATTCAATTGGTTCAGGGGGTTGGCCCTGCCGGCAGTACGAGGGGTGCTCACATTGATTCTTCTCTGGCATGTCGGGAGAGTCAACATCATCATTCAAAGCGCCCGATAAGCATTCCAGAGTAGGCAACACGCTCCCGGTGATCGATTCATGAGGGGTCGCCTGCAACGGCCGGGCGGGCGTGTTAGACGTTCGACCCATTGCTTTTCCACCCAACGCGTGACTCCAAGGCATCGCGCTGGAAAATTTGGCCCCGGGCCGGTAAATCAGACCGTGACAACCCCTCCCCGAGTCGCTGGAAAAAGAGATATAACCGCCTCCATCCCCCGCGGCCCCGCGCCGCCGCCATCTCCTCCGGCCGTTCCGAGTGGAGCCGAGCGCGGTCCCTCGGAGGCAGTAACTTTCATTATCAGCAGTCAGGGATATTGCTTCCGAATCCCGGCCACCGTAAGGCCGAAAGGCCCCAACTTGGGGCCAAACACCTGCAGGCCAGGCAGGGCCAGGCACGGCCAGCCAGCGCCACAGATAAGATTGGCTGCCCAGGCAGAGGGCGCCAGAGTTTCGCTTGTCGCGGAGGAGCGCGAAACACCGAGGCTAATTTCACAATAAAATGCACAGAAAAAACTCGCAAAAAATCCTGAGCAGCAAAACAAACAAGTCGTAAATTTGAGGGAAAAGTAGCGCTGCATGCTAAGAGTGGGAGAGGGGAACGAGGAGGGCAAACACCGACGGCAATGAAAAGTGTCACCATGAAGAACGACCAGCTTTGCGTGTAAATACTGCAAATGCTGCCCCTTTTTTGCCCCTTTCATTCCATCTCTAAAGACCCCAATCTGCTCCAGGGGCACGCCAAGGAGTGGGACAACGTCAACGCGTCCCGCAGTGAGGCCAGTGTGAGAGAGACAGACATCAGTCGGGTGTGAGGGGGGTGAGGTAGGAATTCGCCGGGGTGTGTGATTTTCGCGTTCCGGGGCCTCCAAACCACTCTCGGCAGACTTGGTCCCAAACAGTGCTTGCCTCTCTCTTGCACCCCCACTGCGCGCCCCATGAGGGCGAGAGAGACGGAGAGAGTGGCGGCAGCAAGGCGCGCTCCACAAACATGCCTTCCATTACCAGGACCATCACGCCAGCCCGACATAGCGCCAATCCCAATATGAATCGCAACCAGCCATTCAGTGCACTAGCAACAATAACGCAATAACGCGTGTCGAATCTCAGTGTGTTGTGTGTGTGTCATCGCGCGGCGTCGACAGCGCGATTCATATTCAGCAGGCAGCCATTGCAAAGGGCAGCACGCGCATGCCAGCCCACATCTGGTTTGATTGTGTTCCCTCTTTCCGTGTGTGTGGTTGTGTTTGTGCTGGGGGGTTGGGGTGTTGGCACGACCTCGCGTGAGTGAGTAGCTGTGTGTGTGTGTGTGTGTGTGTGTGTGTGTGTGTGTGCGGGTTCCAACGCAATTGAGCCCTGATACCTGCCGCCCTCCGCGAGGCGACAACAACAGACAACAAAAACTTTAATTACCTCACGCAATTGGCGCGCGTACGCAGGATGGGGTGGGCGTGGCGGGGTGGGGCGGGCGGGGTCAGCGCTTGCTTCCCATTAAAACTTTGCCCCCCCTCCCCGTTTTTTGTGTTTCCGTCCTTCGGCATCCCTCCGTGCCGACATGCGCGCCGCCAAAGTTGGCCGATAAAGGGCCGATTCGAGGGCGGCTGTTATTCCTGCTGCTAAGCACGTGCCGGACCAGCGACGCCCCGCCCCGCCCCACCTCGGCACGCCCCGCCCCGCCCCGCCACGTCCCGCCCAGACGCATTTCGCGGTTTATCGAGGTGCGCGGGTGTAAACCGGAGGCCCTGCTTGGAACGTGCGAGGGCGCCGAGAGGCGGAGGAGAAGAAGAAGAAGAAGAAGAAGAAGAAGAAGAAGAAGAAGAAGAAGAAGAAGAAGAGAAAGAAGAAGAAGAAGAAGAAGAAGGGCGACGACGGAGTAGGTGGTCCCTTCCGGCTTGGGCGCAGCAACGAGTCTAATAAAGGCGAAAAGGTCAAAGGGACCGAAGGAAGACGCGCGGGCGCACTCACTCCTCCGCCACGTCCGAGAGGAGAGGGCTCAGGAGAGAAACAAACACACACACACACACACACACACACACACACACACACACACCTTGCTTGGCATGCAGCGGGCGGCCAATCTCGGCCGTAGAATAGTCCACGTCAGCTTGCTGCAGGCCGAGCGAGGCCCAAGGAAGGCCCGGGGCAGGGCAGGGCGTAGCGAGGTCCTGCAGGGCGAGCGGGGAACAGCCCAAGCCCGGCCGGGCCAGGCTCGAAAGGAAGCAGCGCGCGAGGACCAACTCGATTATCGAGGCATCGAGCCCGCCAGCCCAACGCCAGCCCGCCCCCGGGATTAAATCCGTGTCTAAAACTTGGACGGCGCAACAAAGCAACAAAAGGCGAGGGGAGAGGGGAGGAGGGGGCACGGAGCAACAGGGAAAGTAATTTACTCTTGATGTGTTCCCGGGCAAGGTTCACCTTTGTGGCCGCGGCGCCGGGATACGGTTCCTGGTGCGTCTGTACACGTGTATGCGCACGTGTGTGTGTGTGTGTGTGTGTGTGTGTGTGTGTGTGTGTGTGCATGTGAACCGTGCGTGTGAATGTGTATGGATGCCACATGCAAATGTAAATCTCTTTGGGTCGCTTCAGTTCCACCTAGCGCTTTGCGAGCCGAAATGATAACCCTTGCGCTGCAATTTTACTTTTTAAATTCATTTTATTAATTTTTTTTGTTTTTCCTTTTTTAGTGTTATTTGTACTGGACGTGGTGGGTGCCGACGGCCGCGGAGACCTAAGGCAGCCGCTGTTTGAAGACGTCTCTGAAGGCCGCCAGTCGCCGCACCGTGGCCTCTGAGGAACAAGAGCACAGGTTGGCCGAATGTAGTCAGTTAGATCGCCCGATCAAAGAGTCACGCTGCGATTGGTCCGCCGTGACCGTGTGGCGGCGTGCGCAGCCAATCAGGGCGCGGCTTTGACGCCGTACCGTGCAGCTCGGCGATGCTGGGCTGGGTGCCGCCCAGGTCGCTGGGTAGACAGTCTCGGGGGATCTCCGCGTGGAGCGCCGAGTAGTCCTTGCCGGGGTGCACGCGAAGCTGCGGAGCAGTGCCGGTTAGTCCTTCGTCTTGAGGCTGTTTCAAGGTCATCTGACGTCATCCGGACCCACCTTGTCCCTGTCTTCCTTCTTGCCGATGTGGCTCATCATCTTCAAGCCCTTGTCGACGAAGGACGAACAGTGCACCAGATGCATGGTGCTCTGCTTCAGGGGGAGTGCTTCCTGACAACAGCGCCGCGTAGCCAAGTCACACGTGCCACTCGACAAAACGTTGGCAGTGTACTATATCTCAAGTGAGCATGGCGGTCGGTTGGAAGCCCGGGCGAGCATACCTGTGTGTAATTGCTAAACTTTTGCGGAAGGGACCAGCCGAACTTCATGAAGTGGGAGAAGCTGGCCTGGCCCATGTCGTGCACCACCACCAGGCCGTCCAGGGTGGGCTCCGTCAGGAAGATGGTCTCCATCACCATGAGCAGCGCCTTGCACACGTCCGCGAACACGTAGTTGGAGGTGCTGGACGTCTGCAGCGAGTTCACCAGGACGCGGCAGTTCTGCGGCGTCTTTCGGGGCACGAGTGCCACCAGACTGACCAAAAGAAGATATGCTCATTGAAAACAGACTGGAATTTCAGCAGTGTGGCAGGTCAACACTCTTGGCCGCTGAGTAATCGCACAGCGAAAATGTCTGCACTCGGCCGCGTCGCCTGGCCGCGCCGTTGATTAGGCCTTCAGATAGTGGGGTCGAAAGCAGAGGCATCCACTCCACCGTAAAGCCACGGAACGGAGAGCCAGAGGCGGGAGCACCGAGTGCTGCCTGAACCGGGGCGTCCCACAGTGGGCCAGAAGACCAGTGGAGGCGGTCCAAATTCCGGACGCGTTTTGAGCGCCGGATTCGGTAAGCAGGGCTTGAACCGAACGTGTGACCCCACCAATGGATTCCTCGTTCGGAGAGCAATCCATTGGTGGGTCACACGTTTGGTTCGAGGCCCATTTAGCGACGCTGAAGCTCAAAACGCGTCTAGAGTTTTGACCCCCTCCACCGGCCATCCGGCCCACTGTGCGTCCCTAACCACCATCCAGGCCATCCAGGCACTTACATCACATCCAAGATGGACCTCATGTTGGAGAGCTCCGTGTCCCAGCCGGAAAACAGCTCCGGGGTGTTCTTCCGGCACGCGTGGAACTCCGTGACGCACTTCTTGGCCCTGTCCAAGTCATAGTCGCAGCTGTGCGCGAATTTCACGAGTTCGTCCTCTGCGTGGCGAGACCGACAAAAAGGTGAGAAAGACAGTCGAGGCGGAGGCGTGGCGCGGAAAAGGCGTCGTCGCCTCGCACGCACGCGCGGCACGCGAAGCACGCCAAGCACGCCAAGCACGCACCCTCCACTGTCGGCAGCTGCTGCCGCCGGCACCACGCCGCCAGGTCGCGCACCACGGCCAGCTTGGAGGCGGCGACCACGGCGACCGCGGCCGGCCCGGGGATGGCCTCCACGCCGGGCAGGCCCCAGGAATCGCGCGCCGCATCACCGCCGCCATCGGCGGGCTCGGCTCTGGGCATGGCGATGGACCGATACGACGACCACGCCACTGCCAAGGCACTGCCAAGACACTGCCAACTGGGGGCCGCCGCGCCGCGGTCGCCTAGACCAGCGAGCCACGCTATCAGCAATCATCGAGGAGAGGAGGGGGGGGGGGGAGACGCGCTGCTGCAAAGTCCGCGGTGTAGGGTTCCGCATCGAGGGTCCCCGTCGTCCCGGCCTCGCCGCCACGGCCCTCCAGGGAGCGGGACGGCACCGCACCCGGCAAAGTACCGGCCCGGACTTATTCGGAACCAATTTCACTTCGTCCAACAATTAAGTGCTTCCATTTAGCACTCCCGATGGCCAACTTTGACACTTTGCTTTTTATCGCGGGTCGTGCCCGTCCCGGTGGCGGGGGGACGATTCCTTGCCGTCCATTTCTCCGCAATCGAGCGCGAGACGAGCCCACTGTGACCCGCCAGGACCGGGCAGTGCACCAAGGGGTGTTCGCAGCAGTGTGGGAGTGGGGCCCGCAAATATTAGCAGTGCGTCGCCGCGGGCTCCCAAGTCGGCCAGCCAGTTATTGCAGCGCGGCTCGGGCAAAACTATGTTAGTCACGTGTGAGTTTTACTGCGCCAAAGTACGAGAGAAGGCAGCCCCGCCGCGCTCCACTCGGGTGGAGCCGTCGGCCACGAAGAGGGCCTTCGTGAAAATAAAGTTGTTGGGTTTTTTAAGCTGCAGAAATAGGTTTGGACTTGTGAAATTTAGTGTCAGCAGAGGAAACTTCATGAACAATATCTTCACAAGCCGGTGCGATCCATCCGACTAGATTCCGGCATTTCGCGAGGCCAAGGGACTCGGCTTTCCTCCTTACTCGACGAGTCCCTGCACGGGCGAGCCTACCGCCTCGTAGCCCTTGCAAGTCACAGACGCCCTTGGCCGTGAGTCGTGAGGTTAGGCTCGAGCCAGGGCCACCCAGGGCCTCGCCAACTAACAGCATTAGTGGTCGGCGGGGGTGGGGGAGGGGGCAGGGGGCCCCGCCGCATCGCTGTGGTCCGAGCCGAGCGGGTCCGGGCCCCCGACAGCACCGCTGGCACCGCACGCCCGCGACGCCTCTCCATAGAAACGCCCAAACCCAAAGTGCTGCGGCCGGCTTAGCCCGGTCTGCGCCGCTGCGCCTTCGGGCCTCGGGGTAGGCCACCCTTCGGACGCGGTGAGCCGAGCCGAGCCGAGCCGAGCCGAGCCGAGCCGAGCCGAGCCCGGCCGCAGGCTGACTGTGCCCCCTCCACCGCAAGAGCCCCCGGCGGGTAGGCAACACCCCACTGCCAACGCGCGGCCGCTCGACGGGACTGCCTACCTCACAGGCGCTCGGCATCACCATTACCATTAAGGGCTAGACCACACATGAGAGAGACAGAGCGACGACTCTCGGAATCAGCGCGCAGTCCACTCGGCAAACTCCACGCAACACGGAATTGTGTCGCTTTTGCGCAGCGCGCCGCTAATGGGACAGTCGAAGCAATCTTTTCCATCCGGCGACGCGAGAGAGAGAGAGAGAGAGAGAGAGAGAGAGAGAGAGAGAGAGAGAGAGAGAGAGAGGAGAGAGAGACGGTCGATCCCGCGGCGAGCTAATGAGCGTGACAGAGAGGGGAAAGGTGATTAATGGACGACAATTATCAGGTACTTCGCGATCCAATACGGGGGATGTCGCGCAGGGGGAGGGCCGATAAAAAAACAACAACAAAAAAGAGAGAGAGAAAAAAGCGCATGAAAAACGGGAGGGAAGATAAACGATGGCAAACGGATTGCGATGGTGGGAAACGGGAGCAACACAACAACGGGGTGGAATCTATCGGGGAGCGCGAGACGACGCGGCGACTCTACCGGCGGACAGAACCGAAAAACCCGAAAGACGGTGAAAAGAACAGCATCCCCCTCTTCCGTTCCACGTGCCCGCCCGTGCAGCGCAACACAAAGCAACAACAAAAACAAGAATTGGCGAATGGGACACTACCGCTATACAAAACAACAAAAACACATTATTCGCACCAAGTCTCCGCGGCGCATCAGGACACCGTTGCACGCCGCCACATAGGGACAAAGTACGTGTGTGTGTGTGTGTGTGTGTGTGTGTGACTACTTTACGGGCGGCGTTTTATTAGGTACAAAACAGGACAAAGGGCCGTACGTCCGAAGCGAGGGTCGAGCCAGAGGTCGCGCCACGGCACTGGAAGCACACTAGGATGACGACGACGATGACGACGTCCAAGACGACGGAAAAATGACCGCGGCAGTGAGCGACCTCTCAAAATCCCGCGGCGCGGCGGCATAGACTGATTCCGAGAATCGTCGCTCTGTCTCTCTCGCACTCTCGGGGCGTTTCGGATGGGTGCGAGAGAGACAGAGTGACGAAAACGACTCTTGGAATCCGTCTGCAAGGTAAAGGCAGCAAAACAGAGTGGGAGGGGAGGGGGGAATTCGCGCGGGAAACTACGGTCGCATGGCAATCTCGAGCCGACCATCGTCGCGTGAGAAGCGAGTAAGTAAATGCCACTCTGGCGAGTTGGCCCGAGACTGGGCCCGCGCGGCCTGCCCGCACGGTGGGCCAGAAGAAACGGTGGAGGCGGCCGAAATTCTAGACGCGTTTTGAGCTCCAGGGTCGCTAAGTCGGACTCGAACCGAACGTGTGACCCCACCAATGGATTCCTCGTTCGGAGAGCAATCCATCGGTGGGGTCACACGTTCGACTCTGGAGCTCAAAACGCGTCGAGAGGTTTGGCCGCCCCCACTGTGCACCCGCACGGCGTCGAGGGCCGCTAAGCAGCGTTCCCGAGCAAAGGCTTTTCCGCCGTGGCGAGCGCACACTGTGCGGACGCGGGAATCCCCCCCCCCTCCTCCCTCCTGGCCATCGTCGTGTTCATACCGATCCAGACAGATGCTCGGAATATGCTCACCGCCCCCCTACCCCTTCCCTTCAGCCCCGCAGGGCACTTTCATCATCACGAGGGGGATATGGCAAGTTTGGGATCGCCTATCCAAGTGTTGTTAGGGTCACAGCAGTGCGCGGCGGGGCGGCGGGGCCTCACACCCCCACACCGTAAGACCGCAGGGACCGACCGGGGGGCCAGGGGGTGGGGGAGGGGAGGGGGAAAGAAAGCCAATTTGTCTTGTTGCCACGCCCAGCCCGTCGCGGTGGTGCCGGCGAGAGCCCTGGTGGTGCCGCCCTGGTGGTGCCGCCCTGTCGATACCCGCAACTTGTCCTTCGCATGCAGAAGGGCAAGGGCGTCATAGCGGCGACCCACTGTAGGGCCCGGTCCCAATGAAGGGGGGTTCGTTCCGTTCGGCCCGCCAGGGCTGTCCTGCCACTACACTGGGCGAAGGCGAGGACACACTCTCAAGACCCGTCAGAGCCTTTTCTTCGTAATAGAGCGAGACAAAAGGCACCTGTCTGTGTAAGTGAGAGAGAGAGAGCGAGAGAGAGAGAAGAGAGCGAAAAAGGAGACGGGGAGAAAAGGGGTGCGGCTTGCGCGCATGGTTTGAGACGCGTCCAGTGGCCAATAACGGAATTCCACAACCCCACTCGGGGCCCTACTCGGCCCGGAGGGTCGCACTAGACCCGGCCGAGAGCGGCCTGGAGAGCGGCCTGGAGAGCGGGGCGGCGGCAGGGAGCACCCTCAGCTCCCTGGACCGTCCCTGGAGACTGCGGGGCACCACAGTGCGTGCCGTCGGCGTGCCGCGTTACACGCCCAGCAAAACGGCCTCTCTCTCTCTCTCTTTCTCTCTCTCTCTCTCTCTCTCTCTCTCTCTCTCTCTCTCTCTCTCTCTCTCTCTCTCTCGCACCTACGCGGATAGCCTCGCAAAATCGCTCTGCTGGAGAAATGCAATGGAACCTTGCCAGGTCAGCCTCCAGAAAGAAAGCTCCGGCCCACTGGAACACAGTGTCAAAACAAAATTGGCTTCCTTCTTTCTTTGTCTTTTTTTGGCTGAGTGCGGGTCATATTTTGCAAGCGTTATTGGGTGCGGCAGTGTGGGGTGGGGGTGGGGCACAGGATATTACGTTTTTTAAATGAAACCACTCGGACAGGGCGGTTCCGAGGCCGGCCCTCCCTCTCGGCCGTTTCGCCTGAAATGATACGAAAACGGCCCCTCGGAACAACGGCCCCGTAATCTGCGCCTGTTTATGTTTACAACTGCCCCGCCGCGCCACCCCCGCCAAGGTCCGAGCGGCTACTGCAGGGGGCGGGGCGGGGCGTGGCGTGGCGGGGCGGGGCGGGGCGGGGCGGGGCGGGGCGGGCCGAGCGCTCTCCAGGGCCTCGTCTTCCCGGAGCCTCGGGCTCGTGTTCGGCCGGGGTCCGTCCCGTCCGGACACAGGCGATCCGTCAAGACGGTGTCGAGTAAGCCGCCGAGGTGGCGGGGGTAAAGACAAATAAAGCAAGGCCACTAAAAATGACGGATATAAAAAAAAACCTACAACAAAACAACGACAAAAATGCGACGGTGTCACGCGCACCTACAGTACCCCCACTGCAGCGCCGCGTCCCGCGACACAAAGTAGAATGCAAAACGCGTCCTCAATAAAAAGAGACAGGCAGGGGCGGGGGGTGCGCGTCGATACATTGCCGGGCAGTAGTGTGGTGATAGCCCCGTCCCTTCGCGTCCCTTGTCCTGGGGTCCCTTGTCCTGGGGTCCCATCCCTTCCGCACGCACCAAGGCATCTGGCCGGTCTTTCCGATTGTTTCGTGTCATCCCCTGGCTAGTGGGTGCCCCCCCCACCCTTTCATCCGCAATCGAATTGCAGGGACCGGTTCGCAGTACATCCCTGGCATCCCAAAGGACCCTCCCCCTCCCCCTTTTTCCAGTGGTGGCGCCATCAAAAACAAAGCGCGCCGCTTCAGCTCATTGGATTACCATTACCACCACACCGCGCGCGGAAACCGCCACGCAACGGCCGACACTTCGTTTCCGAAAAAAAAATAAACTAAAAACGCGAGCAGCGAGTGGCGAAATAACACTTTGTCGGCAGTTGCCGGCGGGGGCGCTAGTGGCAGTGGCGTGGCGCGCGGTGCACCGCCTTCA